GAAAAACAAAACGCATTGAATTTCAAATTGAAATTTAAACTGAATAAATTTATTACCATTACGCTAATAGTTTAACTTCTACTCCTTTCATTTCTATGATTTTATCAAAATTGGTATTAAGAAACTAAATGTTTTGCAACTATTATGGGTTGATGCTAATGCTTTACAACTATTATGGGTTGATGGTAACGTCATTTCGTAGGGGTTTCTTATTTTTTTTTAGTTTAGAAATTATTGAAATGATTGTAGACTTTAGGTTTTTACAAATTTAATAACAATCAGAAAGGAAAAGATATAACACAACCTTCCAATCAAAAATCAACATCAACATCATCAATTATTTTATTATTATAAAGTGAAGAACAAATAAACGAATATAGCAAGAGCAACAAATTGTAGTGTCGCGGGTTGTTGTGTGTGGGTGCGAGAGGATGGAGATGAGAGAGATAAACAAATTAGATAAGTGAGGAAGATATATTAGGGTTAGGTGAGTATTTCTGATTTTTTCAGTTGGGGCTACTGTAGGGATAACAAAGAGAAGGTTGGAGTGAGAGAGATGAAAGAGAAAAGGAGAAAGGGTTGAGAGGAATGAGAGAGAGGTGAGTAAGGGTTTGGGGATTTCTTGTTTTTTTTTTAGAATTTAAATTATCCAAATACCATTGTTTTTAAAACTTAAAATCCATAATACATGAAGGCCAATTCAGTCACGTTTTCATGTTCCAATTGAACACTTTCCTTTTTATTATTCTCAAAGAAGAATATTTTTTCTTTCTTTTTACCAAACATATGTGGATCCAATTATCCAAATACTATTGTTTTTAAAACTTAGAATCCATAATACATGAAGGTATTTTTGTCTACTAAAACCCTGTACACTTTTTTAAAATGTACCAACTAAAAAAAGAGCTTACGTAGAAAACCCATATATATATATATATATTATATGTATATCTATATGTATATGTACTAGTGCAAATTTGAAGCTATTTGATTTCTGAATTTTTGCAAGTTCATTAGAAAAAATTATAAACTTTAATTAGATTTTGCAAACTTATGTTCAAGAGATCAAATTATAATCAAATTGTGTTATTTATATGCTCAATAGTAAAAATTATATCCCGATTATCAATTAAGTTTTAGTAATATATACTTGCTTATCATAGATTTAATTTCTTAATGGAGTAATTGCTCATTAAAAAATTGTTAGTGATTGTATAAATGTCTTCTAACCTAGACAGAAGTCAAGTCAAATTAAAAAATATTTTCTTGATGGATGAATTGTTGGCAAACATTTTTATCACAGTTTGATTTCTATCAGTTATATTTCTCCTTCATAATTCGGTTTATTTTGATGTTTTTTTAATTGGCCATGCCTCTGTGGTAGTAGAAGAGTTTGTAATAGCAGTTAGATGCCCAAATAAGGTTTGTCCTGTTACTATTTTTTTTTTCATAAAATTGTTTCTTATGAGCTGTATTTATAGGAGACCCTTTTTTATATATGGAAGTGTCTGTATGTATTTATATTTATAACCGTGCGGCATCTATCCTTACCAGACTTCTATATTTTTTACATTTACATAGGTTTCGAAAGATGGAGTATGCATGTCTTAAAACCTTTATTATACTATGGGATGTCCTCCTATGGGCATTTTCAGTTTCCTTGTGATAATAAAAAATAAAGTAAATAATTTATACTTCTGTTAACGGTCTTACATTTTAATAATATTATTTATTATACATTTGTCGAAATTTTATAGTAATTATCTCAAAAACTAATATTATAGTGCATTATTAAAGTTACGTAGTACATAAAATTAAAATTTAGAAAGTATAGTATTATTGATTTTGCATAAGTTTTTATTCTCTAATTCAATATCACTTGTGTACGATATTTATTGAATTTTGTGAAAGGTTTATCATATAGAAGTATCTTTTTCTTTTTATTTGATGTACTAAAACTATCCTAATAATACTAAATGCATAATAAACCTCTTTCATGCTTGAGCTGTAAAATGATAATAATCAACTTAATTATTCGTATGATTATTCTTTTTCTTAATTTAGTTTCTTAAAATAAAAAGTAAAAAGTTACTGAATATATTGTAAAGAAATAAATATAATAACAAACATAAATTTACTTAGTTCAATGTTTATCATTATCTGATATAATTTTTTATCACTTGTATTATTTCTCATGTTGTTAGGTATCTACAATATTGCAGGCTGCGAAGAAGGGTGATACTATTTTTATTGGTCAATACCTGTCTATTAATATGGTAAGTTTTTTAATAATTTATTTGTTATGTACACATAATTGATTTTATTAAGTTTTTTAGGATTTATTTAAATATACATTTAACTTTATAGAGTGGTTAAGACATATTCAAAGTTGTAGGGAACACATATCATCTCTAGAAAAAAATTACAGTTCATTACACCAACTGTAAGTAGTTAATTTTTCAAACTATAAATACAATTATAAATTTTATGATACTTTATAAATTTAACTTGTAGTGCTTATGTCAACCGGAAAGTTTTGAGTGCGGATGTTATGTCATGAGGCACATGCAGAAAATTATATCTGCCAATGTCGTTGACTCATGAAATTTGGTAACATGAACATTTTATAACTAAGATCTTAAGTCATTAATATTATAATTTGACTCAAACTATTCATTGTATAGATATTTGATGACACGTCTCCAATGGAACAACATGTCATAAAGATGTTTGGGAGCAGTGGACTGCATTTCTTATAACCATTTGTAATATTACATTATGAGTTTATAAATTATTTTATGTGTAACTATGTTAAGTAACTATGTTAGGTAAATGTATTTAGGAACTTTGTTAGGTAAATATTACATTTTGATCTGTTAATAAAAACAACATTGATTATTTTTCTTGATATTGATTATTTAGACAATATTCTAGGATTGAATTTTATACGGATCTAGATATGGATAATAACACATACAAATCAAATATTTTAAAAAAACTTTCATTTTTTATACCGGTTAAACTCATAAGAGGTAAAAAAAATCTTGTTTTGTCACACTGATTATAATAGCACAGTAATAAAAGTGATACTCTTTTATACCTAGTCTAGCATAAACAGGTGTAAAAAAAAGTTTATTCCCTATATAAATATCAAACTTTTATATCTATTGCAGACAAAATTCATGTAAAAATTTACATATTTTATACCTTTTCTAGAACCTGTGTAAAAAAGTGAAAATTTTATATACCTCTTACTTTTATACTTGTTTGGAAACTAGTATAAAAAGTTTTTTTAACCGGTATAAAAACTCTTTTTTGACACAGTGATATATATATTATGAAAAGAAAAAAAAAGAAAACTCAAGGTATATTTAACCAAACACCAGAAGGAATTTCAAGAGAAGGAAAACATTAACAAAATATTGTGGAAGATATTCCTCCTCTGGATAGAAAATTCTCAAATAGTTAAGATGCTTTAAACGATTCAAATACGATCTTGTATAGTTAAAGATAGTTTTGAAGGAAAGTATACTTGATATGGAGGGAAGCTAATTCTTGGAATCATAATTTCCAGTTTTAGTAGGATTTGAAGGAAGGAATTACATCACAAAAGTTTCACGTCATTTTGGGTAACTCTTACTTTAATGACACCAAAAAGTTTGATTTTTACTTCTCCTCAAACAGAGAATCTATAAATTTATTATGTTTGAAAATACAAGGATTTTGTTAAAACTATGTTAGAACATCTATCATAAAAGGTTTATTTTACTTGTGTGCACTAGTGTGTGTTATAAGTGATAGTATATTCTATTTTTTTAGTGAATAATTTAAAATGATTGACCTCTAATATGAACATTAAACAAAAATAGTAATTTTCAACATTAAAACTCTGTCATGAAAAATAAAACCACCTTTTGTTTTCTCAATCATTTAATTTTCGTATGTATCCTAATTTTTATATTTTTTTCCTTTTTAATAATAACGTAAAATGATTTATTTTACTTAATTATTTTCTCTTTATATTTGAATTTTAATAATATTGTGTACTATACTTTACTAATTACTATTATGTGTCATCCAATTTTATTTTATTTTAATTATTTAACTTGTTTTTTAAATTATTTTATTTCTATTATGTTATTTCATTTCATTTTCGTATAAGTGAAACATATAAGAAATTACATAATATACAAAATTGTTAAATACAGATCCATATTTGACTTATAATATTTTGCTCAAAATATTTTCTTACAATAATTTCAATTTAATTTTTTATTATTTTTATAATATAATGCATAAATATAAACTCTCTTTCTGTATATAAAATAAAATATAATTAAGAATATATAATATTTTTTATTAAAACATTTAAATTATGTTTTCCTATAAGATTATGTATGAAATAAAATATGTGAGCAAATTATATGTATAGAGAGATAAATAGATATTTATTGATTCCTTATTATTTCAACTTTTGTTGAGTCTATATACAGCAGTGTAGACATTTGGGAATAACATTTTGTAAATAACAACTATTGAGAGAACAAAATAAGTATATACAACATTTTACAACATCAGCTTCACTTCTCTTTTCCAATCACCATCCTATTCATATGTACGCTCAATGTATGAATGGTTTGAAATTTGTTTAATCTCTAAATATTGTAGGAAAGGAAATAATATTTTCAAATCGTCTATATCGACATTCAATTGCTTAAGGTACTTTAGACGCAGTATTTTCGCCCGCCCCCTTATCCTGTTTACAAATATATTTTCCAGTTTTCCTCCAGTTATATTTAGCTCTAGTAATTCTGCAAAAAACTCTTCAGGAAGAAATTCTAGAAGACTCTTTCCAGGAAAACATTCAAGATGCAACTTTTTCAAACTCACTGGCAAATGGATACCAATTTTAGGATACCTTGGGTCAGACACACTCCAAGATATTTTCAGATGCTTTAGTGATGGAAAAATTTGCAAAATTGGGATTTCCCAATTCCTTATCACGGCCTCACTTCCAATACGTATGCTGAATTTGCAAAATTTGCAAAATTTGCAAAATTTTCATATCTACACTCAATATATGAATGGTTTGAGATTTGTTTAATTTCTAGATATTGTAGGAAAGGAAAGAATATTTTCAAATCGTCTATATCGACATTCAATTGCTTAAGGTACTTTAGACGCAGTATGTTCACATTCCTCCCTATCCGGTGGAAAAATATATTTTCCAGTTTTCCTCCAGTTATATTTAGCTCTAGTATTTCATATTCACTCTGTATATGTAAATATTCTGGAAAAATCTCTTCACCAGGAAGAAATTCTAGAAGACTCTTTCCAGGAAAACATTCAAGATGCAACTTTCTCAAACTTACTGGCCAAAGGATAGGAATTTCAGCATACCTTGGGTCAGACACACTCCAAGATATTTTCAGATGCTTCAGTTTTCTAAAATTTTTCAAACTTTGGAACTCCCCATCCCTTATCATGGCCTCACTTCCAATACGTATGCTGAGTCGCCTTAAATTTGTCAAATTATTAGCAAGATCTGATAATGTGCAAGGAGTCTTTTCAGAAGTAGTTGTTAAAAATCCTTTGAGTACTTGGAGATTAGTGAGCTTCTCAATCCCCTTTGGCATTCCCTCCAGCAAGCAACAGTCAGACATAATCAGATGTGTCAGACTTTTCATTGATGAAATATCATTTGGTAGTCTTTCCAAATTATGACATGCCTTCAGATCAAGAATTATTAGACTCTCAAGTTCACCGATGGAGGATGGCAGCTCGAATATGTTCGAAATCCCACGAAGACTCAGATATTTCAACTTCTTTAAATATCTCAACTCTTTCAAGAATTCTTCACTCCCAACTTCAATGTGATGCAAAGCTGAATCTTGCCAACGTCCTAGTTGAAGCACCTCTAAATCTTTCAATTCATCGGTGACCCATTGCGGTTTAAAATTTAGGTAACTTGAACCAATATTAAAAACAGTACGTATAGTGTGACCAAAATACCGATCACCTACTTTAACTCTTTTTTGCTCAAGCTCTAACCTATCTACTTTAATTTGCGGATAAAAAGCTCCATGACGGATGTCAGGAAGAATTTGAAATTTTTTGACAAGGGCATCCTTTCTACTACCATAGGGTACAATCACCTGAAATTCCAAAAGATCATCAATCACATCCTCACCAATATTCTCCGCTGTTTTCTCCATCGTATTTTTAATCAAACCCTTTCCAATCCACAAATTAATTGCATTTCTTTTCCTTATGACAGCGTTCTCAGGGAAAACTGAGAGAGACAACAAGCAAGCTTTTAATGAATCGTCTAGCAAGTTAAAATCTTCCAGAGTCCAGCGCTTCTTCTGTTGGAGTTGCACCGATTCTTCTGGTAAGGGAAATATTTCTCCACCCTTGTGATCCTCCTTCTCAGATGACTCATCAAAAGCATGCTTTGGAAGCAAATTGTGAGCAGAATCTCTTATTCTCTGGCAAATGTCATCCATGTCTTGATTCAGCTTCCCACGGTCTAACTTGCGAAGATGGCCATACACCTCTGCTAATATGTCGAGGAGGTCTTCTTCGTTCTTCTTCACCCTCACAAACACATCCTTTATCTTGTTCAGATCTAACCTCAACTTCTCCAACTTCCTATCAAATGATTCATCTCTTCCTCTTTCATCAAATTTGCTCCTTGCTGTCATCAACTGCTTCAGCAACACAGCTACTGCTTTCATCTTGTTTGTTCGAATTGACATTTTACTGCAAACAAACACATACACACAGTATCACCCTATTTTTTTACTTCAAAAATTCTTTTTTGCCGTTCTATTTATGCATTCACACCTACCTTTAGAGGCAAAGACAAGAAAGAAAACAAGAAATAGAAAACAATAATTACAATATCAAATACTGAAAATTATGCTAGGCTCTTTAGAATGATGTCAATAAGAGAAAAAGCGTGCATGAGTATAAAACATCATGCATGAACAAACAACAGTTTTCACTGAACAATTAGAAAAAAAGTTTAGTTATTTAGTATGCTACATAACATCAAACTTGTAATGACAATCATCAAGAATGAATAATCAATCATTACTAAATATAATACATTTCTCGTGAATTTATACAAACATAATATAAATAACCTAACATGTATTCAAATCAAACTTTCTCTACAAATAAAACAACATAAATTATGAGATGTAACAATAGGTGATTTATATGGAGTTATAACCATAATTTAAAGCATCATATAAATGTTTATTATTTATAATTAATATCAATAACAAAATGGAGTCGAACCTTTGAAATAATTGGGACAAAAGAAATTAGATGTAAGAATGTATTGAGTCCACTAGATAATTCGTCCAACTCTTTCAATTAAATTTTGCTACTCACAAAAGAAATATGATTTTAGAAAATATCAAAATTAGTACATGATTGAAAACTGAACGTTAATATATTATAATAATCAATTTCAGAAAATAAACACACTCACATATACACATAAACATATATATTATGAAAAACAACAAAAGAGAACTCAACGTACATTTCACCAAACACCAAGAATTTCAAGAGAAAGAAAACGTTAACAAAATATTGTGGAAGATAATCCTCTTGTGAATAGAACAATCTCAAGTACTTAAGATGCTTTAAACGATACAAATACAATGTCATATAGTTAAAGATAGTTTTGAAGGAAAGTATACTTTATATGGAGGGAAGCTAATTCATGGCATCATAATTTCAAGTTTTAGTATGATTTGAAGGAAGGAATTACACCACAAAAGTTTCACGTTATTCTTTGAGTACCTCCTACTTTAATGATCCCACGATTGATTTTCCCTTCAAAGAGAGAATCTATAAACTTTTTATGCTTTAAAATACAAATATTTTGTTAGTGACTCCCAAGAAAAATGAACTTAAAGAGAAGAACAGTTAAAACCATATTACACATTCTGTATTTACATAATGACTTCCCATTTTTTTCATCAAGACAAATTATAAACTTCATAGATTTTAGATTGTGTCATCGTTATGATTGTTATTTGCATATAAATTTTTTTAGTTTAATATATATATATATATATATATATATATATATATATAATAGTGTTTTTTTATTTAAAAAAAATTATTTTAGAGTTTTTATTGTATAAACATTGTTATTTGTTTCTATATAAAATATTAGCGTACCATTCATTTATTTTATTTTTAATTTGTTGTTTCCATTAAATAATAGTAGTTTGTAATAAATGAATTTATTAAATTTTTTTCTTATGTTAATTTGAGAATAAAGATTATTTATTAACCTTTTGTTCTTTCTATTACTTACTATTATTGGATTTTATAATGTTTCAACCTTGAAGCACTAAAATCAAGAATTATACTACCTATATTTTTGAAAATACATGTCGTGATTTATTTTAATAGTTGTAATCTTCATCAATTTTTTTTAGCACTTGTGTGTACATGATAACCATAATTTAACATAATAAATCTAATGTTCATACGTAATCATATTATATATATATATATATATATATATATATATATATATTAGAAATAGAGTTTTTTTCTTTTCACATATAAATTTATTTTTATAAGAAATTAAACAAATGAAAACTTCCAAATTTAAATTACCAAATATATTCTTTATCTATTTATAGAATCGGGAAAGCCAAATTTTGAGATGTGAACAATAATAGTCCTCAACAACCGAATAATTGACTGGTTTTCTCATACTGTAAGACCCATAAAAATATTTATCTTAATAGTAATAATTTTATTACTAGTAGTAATAAATTTCTTTGTGAATAAAAAATATAATTAATAAGATTATGTAAAAATAAAAAATGTGGAAAACTAAATAAGATGGTGATTTTAAGAGCATGGGTTCAAACTCTTTTCTACCTTTTTGTTTTAAAAAAAATTAAAATAATGATAGTGGATAAGCACTCCACGTTTGAAGTCATTATTGAAGGATCAGATATATCAAGTGGTGATTAAAATTTTAATATAATAAAATAATATTAAAATAATAAATAATATTAAAAAATTGTTAAATAGTAAAATTTTTGGACTATAAATAGCCATGAGGGAGGAGGTTATTCTGCACAAAGAAAGGAAAAATCAAGTGAAAAATCTTGAGAAATAGAGAAGAAAGAGTTAGGAAGAAATTTTTAGTTGCAAGAAGAGTAGAGGTTCTGGAGGGTTTTTGGGAAAACAAATTCTGAGCAAGAGATTAAGTCTGGAATAGAGGTAGGGGAGCTAACCTTTCTAAGCTTTTATATTATGATTTAGTATTGTTTTATTACTATTCATGTGTTGAAATTTTGTGTGAATACTGTTAATGAAAAACATATGTGCTTACTCTAAATAAGAAATTTGTTAAAAACTAGTTGAGGAACACTTTGGCTAAGGAAATACTTGGTACTTAAGTTGTTCATTGTGACACACCTCTCTTTCCTGGAATCGATAGGTTTTTAACTTAAATCCTATTGAACAGATTAAGTATTGTTAAACTATTATGCAATATACTCAATAGATATAAAATATGTGATGGATTCATCTTTCTGGAAGGATAAGAAGATGTCTAACCAGCTATGTCAGATTCAACTTCTTAGTTTCCCAGAACATTTATATTAAGGTTATAATTGTGATGGTAGGATAGAGGAATCTTAAAAACCGGAGTTGGTACATCCCTGATCATAAAGCAGCCCTGGTTAAATCCAGTAAGTTGTGACTAGTCATATGTATTGGCGTTTATGGTGTGTTTGATTCGTCAAACATTTGATTCTTCTCCGGTGACCATTTATGGTAATATTTTAGTATTGTTAATTTATTTTGTGATATATTCATTTTGTATGATTTCTGTGATGATTGTATTTTATTATATTGGATTTGAATTTATGCATCTGAACATGATATGAGTATTATGGAGAGATTTTGTAATGGTATAATATAACTTGAGGAATATGAGTCTCGTTGAGATATTTTGTAATGATATGGTATTTGTGTATAGGTTGATATTGAGGGTCCTGTTGTTGGAGGTTATCCTGATACTCTAATAATCATCCAGTCTCAAGTAGAGAAGGATGAATTACGTGGTGAGAGGGGCAGGAGGTTTTGGTCTATGTGTCAGTTTTGCAGATAATGTTGAGGACTAACCTTGTGGATGGTATGAAGTATTTTGGAAGTGTATTTTTAAGGAGAAGTAGAAGCCATCACAAGTGCATAATCTCCCGTGACCGCTTATCAACGTATCATCCGAATGAGTGTCTATTGAGTATTGTGGAATGAGTGTTTATTGAGTATTGTAGGATGAGTGTCTATTGGGTATTGTGAGATGAGTGTCTATTGAGTATTGTGGGATGAGTGTCTATTAGGGATTGTGGTATGATAGGATGAGTATCTATGATGCGATTGTTGTATGATGGTATGAGGGTGTTTGACATAATTATTATATGAGGTTTGTTCAGTGTATCAAAGTAATTATGCATGTTTTATAGATGATTTGTTGCATGTTAGTTCACCCTACTTGTTTGTGTTTGTGTATGTGCAATGATCGTATAATTCGTTATACGGAAGCATACGAAGTTTGTAATAATACTACAATATATCAATTATGAATTATCAAGGAAAATTTGAAGACATTTATTTATGTAATTTTTTTTTAAATAGCTTTATCCGGAAAACAAATTTATGAATAAAGTTTTTTTTATCATCTATTATTTTAACTTTATTTATCATTTTTTTTCTTTTCTCTTCAGGTGCTTTATTCACCTCAATTTTTTTCTCCCTCAACCAACAAAAGTTAATAATTCACTATAGTTTTCAAATATTCCTAAACTCTTTGTGCTATAAATATGATTTTTAAACATCAAATTAGGGAAGTAAAAATTATTGATAATTGTAATTATTGGTATCTCACGTACTGTCACGAATAAAAAAATTGTAATTAATTTTTTAATTTTTGTTTAAATTGATCTCCGACATTATGACTAATGTTTTAGTTATTTTGAATTAAAGATTATTTAAGTAACTAATATTACGTACACTCCGAAACCAATTATATATATTTTTATTCATAATAAATACTATTTTAGATATTAATTATTTTTAATTGATAAAATTATGTGTAACTTAATTAGTATAATGACTAATTATTTTTTGTCTTTAAAATTGGTTTTTCTTTTATGATTTTTTTACAGTTATTATTTAATTCGATTTAAGTAGTTTACTTTGTTTTTATATATTAATAAATGTTTATAATCATATGTTAAAAAATAGATAAGTTTGGAAATAAACAAAAATAAAGGACTATACCTTAATATGTTTAGGCCTAATACATGTTTTTATCCATAATTTATAATAATTATTTAAAAATTTTTATTTAATATGGTCTCAATATTTATTAAAGAAATTATTACTTTAACACTACCATTGTTAGAGGATAATGATTTAATATAATGATATATTTGTGTTTCTATAAAATAAAAACTGTTCATATAATTGTAAAGTGATCATCTTCTTCTAACAACCTTAACTTTTTAAGAGGAATAATTACATTAGTTTTTTCTAAGAAATATTAGAACTACAAATAAGCAAAAAAAAAAAATTAAAAGAAAACAAATAACCACTATAAATACGAAACCAAAAGATATTATCCATATGTGTTTTACATAACAAGTAAAATAACGAACGTATTTTTATTATATTGGGAAAGGATATGCTATATCATCACTCAAGA